TAGTGAAGATGTAAGGAAAGAAAAGAACTGAATCAGACTGGATGTGGTGGATAAGATTGTAAGTGACAAATGATCTCTGGGGTTCTGGTTTGGGAGACTGTGTGGTGCCATTCACTGAGCAGGGAACACAGGATGGGAGCTATTTGGAGAACATATGATGAACCATTTGGAGCACAGTTAGTTTTTCAGAGGCTGAATTTGAGGTTCTTGTGGGGAGCAGTATAGTCTGGATTCAGATTATCAAGCTACAAACAATTCATGAAAAGGAAAGGTAATGGTGACTTAGAACATCTTAAATGGCCAAAACATTCTGTTTAGCTTCCAGTTGTGTTTTTCCCAATTACAGTTGAATGTGAGTAGCTCATAGAATGGGAATTAACCACGCTCTTGATGGCAGGCACTACATTCTAGAATATTTGAATCACCAACAGGTCTTATAGTAACAATTGTCCAAGTCTGTTCATGCTGCTGTAACAAATACCATAAGCTGGGTAGCTTATAAACAACAAACATCTACTTACTCCTTACAGTTCTGGAGGCTGGCGAGAACCCTGTTCCAGTTGCAGACTGCTGATTTCTCATTGAATCCTCACACAGCCAAAGGGGAAAAAGAGCTCTCTGGAGCCTCTCTTGTAGGAGCATGAATCCCTTTCAGGGTCTACCCTCATGACCTAATCACTGCCCAAAGGCCCTACCTCCTAATACTATCATCTTGGAGGTTAGGTTTCAGCATATGAATTTGAGAGGAAACAAACAGTTGGAACATAGCAAACACCTTGGACTCACTCAGCCCTCGGTTGTTGTTCACTGAATGAATGGATTTCACTGCAAGGACTAGAAAACAGTCTTGTTTTCCCCATTCTGTTTCTCTGATCATAATTCTTCTCTGGTTCCCACATCATAGGAGATCCTCTCCCACCTTTAATCATATGTGAGTTGTCTTTGTGCAAACAGAGTGGAAGTTTTTAAGGAACAAATGATCAATCCGATGGAATCATGCTCCAAAGGAATTAAGAATTTTTGTAGGGGAGATGAGACATGCATGAATGATCAAGGAAGATTAAAAAAAAAAACCAAAAACACATAGAGTACCATGTCATCTGTGAAGAGTGCAAGTTTGACCTCCTCCTAGCCGATTTGGATGCCTTTTATTCCTTTATGTTGTCTGATTGCAGAGGCTAAGACTTCCAATACTATGTTGAATAACACTGGCGAGAGTGAACATCCCTGTCTTGTTCCTGACCTTAGCGGGAAAGCTCTCAGTTTTTCCCCATTGAGGACGATATTAGCGTTGGGTCGTTCATAATTGGCTTTTATGATCTCGAGATCTGATCCTTCTATCCCTACTTTCTTGGGTTTTTATCAAGAAAGGATGCTGTATTTTATCAAATGCTTTCTCTGCATCTATTGAGAGGATCATACGGTTCTTGTCCTTTCTTTTATTGATGTGATGAATCACATTAATTGTTTTGCAGATATTACACCAGCCCTGCATCCCGGGTGTAAATCCCACTTGGTTGTGGTGGATAATTTTTTTAATGTATTGGTGGAGCCGGTTGGCTAATATCTTGTTGAGGATTTTTGCATCCATGTTCATCAGGGAAATTGGTCTATAGTTCACCAAAATACCGCTAGAACTGATTCATGAATTCAGCAAAGTTGCAGGATATAAAATCAATGCACAGAAATCAGTTGCATTCCTACTCACCAACAATGAAGCAACAGAATGAGAAATCAAGGAATTTATCCCATTTACAACTGCACCAAAACCTATAAAATACCTAGGAATAAATCTAACCAAAGAGGTGAAAAATCTATACACTGAAAACTATAGAAAGCTTATGAAAGAAACTGAAGACACAAAAAAAATGGAAAAAGATTCCATGCTCCTGGATAGGAAGAACAAATATTGTTAATATGTCAATACTACCCAAAGCAATCTACATATTCAGTGCAATACCTACCAGAATAACACGAGCATTCTTCACAGAGCTAGAACAAATAATCCTAAAATTTGTATGGAACCAGAAAAGACCCCGAATAGCCAAAGCAATCTTGAAAAAGAAAACCAAAGCAGGAGGCATCACAATCCTGGACTTCAAACTATACTACAAAGCTGTAATCATCAAGACGGTATGGTACTGGCACAAGAACAGACACTGAGATCAATGGAACAGAATAAAGAACCCAGAAATGGACCCACAAACGTATGGCCAACTAATCTTTGACAAAGCAGGAAAGAATATCCAATGGAATAAAGACAGTCTCTTTAGCAAGTGGTGCTGGGAAAACTGGACAGCGGCATGCAGAAAAATGAACCTGGACCACTTTCTTACACCATGCACAAAAATAAACTCAAAATGGGTGAGAGACCTAAATATAAGACAGGAAGCCATCAAAATCCTCAAGGAGAAAGCAGACAAAAATTTCTTTGATCTTGGCCGCAGCAACTTCTTACTCAACACGTCTCCAGAGGCAAGGGAAACAAAAGCAAAAATGAACTACTGGGACCTCATCAAAATAAAAAGCTTCTGCACAGCAAAGGAAACAATCAGCAAAACTAAAAGGCAACCGACAGAATGGGAGAAGATATTTGCAAATGACATATCAGATAAAGGGTTAGGATCCAAAATCAATAAAGAACTTACCAAACTCAACATCCAAAAAACAAATAATCCAGTGAAGAAATGGGCAAAAGACATGAATAGACACTTCTCCAAAGAGGACATCCAGATGGCCAACCGACACATGAAAAAATGCTCAACATCACTCATCATCAGGGAAATACAAATCAAAACCACAATGAGATACCACCTCACACCTGTCAGAATGGCTCACATTAACAACTCAGGCAACAACAGATGTTGGCAAGGATGCAGAGAAAGAGGATCTCTTTTGCATTGTTGGTAGGAATGCAAGCTGGTGCAGCCACTTTGGAACACAGTATGGAGGTTCCTCAAAAAAGTAAAAATAGAACTACCCTACCACCCATCAACTGCACTACTAGGTAGTTATCCAAAGGATACAGGTGTGCTGTTTCGAAGGGACACATGCACCCCAACGTTTACAGCAGCACTATCAACAATAGCCAAAGTATGGAAAGAGTCCAAATGCCCATTGATGGATGAATGGGTAAAGAAGATGTGGTATACACATATACAATGGAGTATTACTCAGCAAACAAGAAGAATGAAATCTTGCCATTTGCAACTATGTGGATGGAACTGGAGGGTATTATGGTAAGCGAAATTAGCCAGTCAGAGAAAGACAAATATCATATGACTTCACTCGTAAGAGGACTTTAAGATACAAAACAGATGAACATAAGGGAAGGGAAACAAAAATAATATAAAAACAGGGAGAGGGACAAAACATAAGAGACTCTTAAATATGGAGAACAAACAGAGGGTTACCGGAGGGGTTGTGGGAGGGGGGATGGGATAAATGGGTAAGGGGCATTAAGGAATCTACTCCTGAAATCATTGTTGCACTAGATGCTAACTAATTTGAATGTAAATTTAAAAAAATAAAATTAAAACAAAAGAAAAAAACCACACATACAACAAGAAGTAAAGTAAGAAAGCTAAAGGTGTAGTGCCATGTAAGTTCACAGGGGTGGCAAATATTTGCAGCTGAATCCGCCTGGGAAGAGGCATAGCACCCACCCAAGCTGTGCTAGCCCCTCTGATTTGTACTGTTAATACTTCACTTTGGTTTTGCTTTCAATATTCTACCAGCAGACTGCAAAATCAGGACACAGCTTATAATGGCTCACCCCACAGCTGTTCAGTGCTCCTAGTAAAGAGTTTGTCATCGCTGTGTATATGACACATAGTTGTGTGTAGAACATTAAAAACAATTTGTTTCAAAGAGCAAAAAATATAAACAAGAAATACTGAAAAGGACCTTAATGTTTTCTTAATGTTTTAATGTTTCAAAGATCTCTAAAAAAACAGATTTGACTTAACAGAGTCCTAGTCTACTTGTGAGGCTAATTATATGATGTTTCTGAACTTTTTAAAATGCATTGCCCTTGGTGAGAAACATTACAGGCAGCCACTTCACCCCCCCTCCCCCAGCCTGCTCCCCTCTGTGGAGAATCACCAGTTTATGGTTATTAAGCATCCATAGGACCAAAAGACTTGAGCACCCTCTTTAAACAGCACCTCTCTAATTAAACACAAACACACAAGATACTAAGGCTACAGATCAGTTTTTATTAGTAAAAAAAACATTTAAAACACCTCCCCCACTTTTTAAAAATGGACTCTTACTTTCTTAAATATTGTTTGAAAAACCATAAACAATGAATTATCCTGAAGGAAACAATTTAAAATAAAATGTAAAATGTTGACAACCCCGGATATGCATGGATGAGGTTATTTTAAACAATACCTTTCTTTGTACTTTACTACAAACTGATCAACCTAAACATAAGAATTACAGGAGATTAAATTCAATGCCCCAAGCCTTCCCATATTCCATAAACTCACCTCCCTTCTGTCCAACAAGATTATCTTCTTCCAAAGGAGTCTTAATATCTGGCATTGGTAGGGTGCTGGCACACAGTATTCAAAAAACAAACAAGCAAAAAGCAAAACAAAAACAAAAAACAAACAAAAAACCACCTGGGGCAGGTAAAGTTTCAATTTACATTATCAGGGATATCTCAAAGCGCTTTATTTAAAACGAACTAAGTCTTTGAGTGCCTCATGGGGAATATAGTTAAACAACCAAAAAAGTCCTCCATTTTTGACCAGATTAGTAGATGATTAATATTTTAAAACCTTTTTATATAGTTAAGCAATCCCATCTGTTAGGACACCTCAGATATGTTTCTATTCCACAAAACACAGTTTCATACCCCAAAACATTTGGGAATTCCGCGGACAGCTCTACAGCGACACATGAGACTCCTTCCCTGAACCTCCTAACAGTCCTATACCCCACCCCACCCCATCCCCCACCAAAAAATCTGGAAAGCGCCAGGCATCAGAATTGGACAAGTCACGGAAGACAAAGAGCAGCGCTGACCCCTCGAGAACCCGCCCCACCCCGCGCCGCAGCAGGCCGGGTGGGGCCGAGCCTCCCACGTGAGATCTTACACGTAGGCCCGGGCTGGGAGCACCCGCCCCACGGAGCGGACCGGGCCTGGGGCGGAGGGCGGGGGCCGGGGCTGCTGTGCTGCGCCCGAGCACGTACCGGGGCGTGGCCTGCAGCGCGGCGGGCGGGGTTTGGGGAAGTTTCTCCCGACGGCTTGTGTTTCGCATCCTCATCATGTAGTACCAGCGGCACCACGGACATTAGGGGTGGTCGGTCCCCTCCGCATCCTTGTTATTTTCCCCGCTGAGGGGGCTGTCTGATCACTGCTGCTCTCAGGCACCTGTCTTTCCTCTCCGTCCCGGGATGGATCCGAGACAAGGGAATAAAGGAAATTAAATAGTACGAGGAGATCGGGTGTCTGGGCAGCGTCTTGGATAAAACCGCCCACTACAGGTAAGAAAATTATGTCCAAACCTCTGAAAGGTGTGAACACAAAAAAGCTCCAGAAGGTATTGATAGGAGGGTTTGTGGTAAGACGTAGCTTAATATTACAGGGAGACTATTTTGTATCAAATTCTACAGATCAAACAACGATCTGTAAAACGATCTGGGACAACAGGTTCAGCGCTATTTTAAGGGATGAAATACGAGTAAAGTGGTTAGCGGCAGACCTAAAAAACACCTGAGTAAGATTTTTTTTCTTTACACTGTTGTTGGTTTCAGTTGGCAACATGTTTGCAAAGGTTTTATTTAACCAAAAGCCCATTGTTAAAAAAAAAGATTACATATTCTTTGCAACTTATTTTTGACGTTGCTACATTAGAAATCTGAACTTCTAGAATCTAAATGTTTAAATTTCTGCACAGCCAGTAACTTTAAGGGCACTTCTCTGTTTTAAAGGTTGTAGGGGAAAATTGCTATTTGGAAAGGTAGTTGCAAAGTTATACAAACTTAAAATAAACGTGTATAATGCCATTAAGTCAGACAGCTCTAGGAGGACCATGCCATACACTGATGTAATCTTTTATAGTTCATTAACGGGCTTTCCATACATCATCTCATTTACCTGTTAATATCTCCATCACCAGACACCTGAATCTCTAGTTCAAACTCAAAATTCTCGATAGCACTTTAGAACACCACTTAACTCATTTCCGTTGGTCTTGCCATTCCTCTTAGCACATCCCCTGTGATTTCATTACCTTCACCCCATTGCTTTCTCTTGTTTGCTGTTTAAACAGTTAATAGGGTAAAGGGCATGCTCTACTGCTACCCAACTGGCTAGTACCCCCCTGGTGTTTAGCACCATGAGCTATGGAGTCACTGATGGCCACCTCAAATGCTCTGATCCTTAGGCTAGGTCTCAAGAATGTTTTCGTATCTACAAAATGATATAAATATTAATTCAGAAGTGTTTTTTGAAGACTGTGAGATAACATCCTAGCACAAAGTCTAGCATATAGGACCTAATAGATGTTTAGATTCATTTTAACTCATCTAAAAGCCATTGTACTTAGTTGTGGTAAGCTCTCTGTAGAACCCTTTTTAGTTCCAAAGTTAATGGTGAGCACAAAAGAACAAAATACACCAAACTCCTTTGCCATACTTTCTTCAGGTAAGTAAAATAATACTGTGGTCATTCATTCACAGCAGCACCAGAAAAGTGGCAAGTATAGGCATCCATCGGGAGGAGAGAAGAGCTATTATAGAATTCTAGTTGCTAGGGTAGGGTTATACTTCAGAGAAAGGCATTATAAGGAAGTAAGTGACAGTCTGAGAGAGAGGGCACAAAGCTGGGAAGGAAGGGCTGGTTCTTCTATTTCCAGCAGCTTCAAGCACTCCATGGGGGTTGTTTCCTGAATGACCAAGAGGTGGGTACTTACTTTCTTCCAGTTCTACTGTCTGTTAAAGTGGCTTTCTCTTCTAAATCACTGCTTTTACAAGTCATTTTCTGACTCCCGGTCATTACATAACCGGACCATTTATTAATATTTGAAAACTACACATAAACTTCTAGCTTTCGACTAAAGCTAATTCTGCTACCAAAATAAGCATAATTTTGGGGTGTTTTTGACCTGAAAATACTAAGCAACTATTTTATTCTAAAATACCACCTCTATACTATCTGTAATGAAATGCAAAACTACTTTGGGTCATAGTATTTACAGTGAAGTATGCATGTGCCCCCAAAAACTTGGGAGTCTTCGAATTATAAATTTTTGTTCCCAAATTTTCATGCCGCTGTAATAACATTTTGTTCAGTCTAAGATAAGATCTGGACTTAGTTCATTTTGTTCAAGATATTTTGGTTCTTGTAACCTCAGGCTACAGGACCTAAGGCTCTGGCCACTGCCTTTGTAATTTGTCCATAAAAATAATTTGCTGTTACTTCTAGGTGCAGAGGCTCATGGTGATTTTTCATCTTTTTGTGCAAATTTTTTTTTTTACAGCGAGAATATTACTTTTATAATCAGGAAGAAATATAGCAATTCCATAAAAACATACAGAAAAAAATGAATTAAGTTATTTAAAAAATATAAAATATACAGTTCTGATTTAAAAAACATGCAAGGTTTGTTCTAGTTTCATACTAAGAGAAAACCTAAGTGTAAATCTTTGGTGTACCATTTATTACCTTGAAGACTTGGACAAATCGACTATCATTTGAGGTCTACATTTCTTCATCTGTGAAATGGAAATAGATTAGAAATCTTTAGAGGTACTTCTCATCCTTACAACATTATGTAACTATAATATTTGGGATTTGCTTTACTCATCCCATTCATATTAAAGCATTAAAATTTGCTTTAATAGGTTCATAAATTTATAAATGACAAGTTTCTTTTCTAAAAGTATTTTTTACAGTGGAACATTATAGTTTGCTTTTACTTAATAGGACATTTACGGACACAGTATACATTTAAGTGATGGCAATAAAATAAATGTAGAAACAATCACTGGCAATTTAATTTTCATAAGATAACTGCTAGTAATCAATTTTATGAGTTGGAGGCATTGAAACAAAATTTTTAATATAAAAGCTGACCAAAGGGGGCCTGGTCCACAGAAGATGTTTATTTGATGTAACAAAACAATACAGTTAGTGTTAGATCCAACCACAAAAAGCAAAAGGAATGAAAAATTTGTACAATGCACATAGAAAAACAAGATGTTTACTGACAACTATATATTTCTAAAATAATGCTTCTAAAATTACTCAATTATTGAAATCTATATGAAAACAGAAGGATGTTAATAGCGACAAAGTGCATAAAACCAAACATCAAATTTTGAGCAAATTAACATACTAGGCAATTTTGCTAACAAAGCATGATTTTTTTTTCTTGTTCACAATCTGCTCAAAATATCTTTATACCAACAGGGTGGGCAGAACATTTAGGTTTAATATCATTTACACAATATTAGCATAAACTTCCACAACTACAGATAGGGTATTGTTTTCTTTTGAGCTGGCAAAGTGACTACAGAAACATCAGATCATTTCTCTGAATTGAGAATTTTATCCAAATAAATGTCACATACCTTCCAGATATATGCATATCTTTCTTTATCATGTAAATGGCTTTACCCATTTAAATAATAAACCATACAAGCATTTAAGAATCATTATTATATGATTAACAATGTCATGTTCCAGGTTTAACAATTTCATAGGCCAAAAAAAATTTCTTCTTAAAAACTAGTTTTATAAATGCAGAATATATTGCATGAGTAACTGCTGGTATTTTTTTAAGAAAATATATTGTGCAATTGTGGCTACCATGTACTGCTGGCAAATCATTATTGTGTATGTAAAATGTGAAAAAACGGAGTAAGAATTTTTCAAACTGATCATGATGAAAGGTTACTGCCTTCTTACAAAAATTATATTGGCATCTTATTAAAAATAATTCGATAAGGGACAAACTCCCTAGCCCAAAATAAATAAATAAAAAGGTGCATTTTAAAAATGACGCTACTGCAATGTAATGGTTTAAATACCAAGGAACTGTGAAGACGTGCTGTCTGTGATCTGGCATTAAAGAACGTACTAAAAAAGAGCATTAATGTAAATGAAGTAGAAAGGGGATCAAGATTGAACTAACCAAGTTTGTGCAGTATTGTAGCCAGGCTTCTAAAATTAGATATAGAAAATATAAATAGACTGCTTTAGGTAATGAGCCACCAAGTGTCCAAAAAAAGGAATGAGATTATGAAAAAGCTCAGTTAACTTGATCCAAAGCTCTGAGTAATTCTTCACCCTGCAGTAGGTTTCTGCTGCCTTGTACAGGAGCATTAACTTCACAATCATAACTGGTCAGTTGTGGTAATCCACTCTCATCCATTGATTGCCCCAGCAGTCTACATGCTAAATCTGAAAAACAAAGACATACCTAAGTATTCATTCACCTAGTCAATAAATATTACTGAACACTCACTGTGCTATAGGTATTGCAGAAAACTAAAGCAAATAAGCTCTGGGTTTCTAGTCTACAGGGCAAAACCACAACTATGTGAAAAAGCAAGTGGAATAAAGTGTTACTAGTGCTATGTCAGAAGTGTTTAAAGGATACAATGATGGCACAAAGAAGTGATAAATCAATTCTGAAAAAATCTCATACAAATTTACAAGTTTTAGCTTCTACTGAATATTGATGGCACACAAAGATAAATTAAAAGTTCCATCTTGAATAGCTATTCCTGTATTTACCACCAGTGGATAAAATGCTACCTTAGTTTTTAATGATGCTAAAGAATGAAAATCACTTTGAAAGTAAAGCTTCTAAATAAAAAACTTTCATACATTTTAATTCTCTGTGGGATGTTCAAGGGTAGAAAGAATAAACTAACCAGAGGGTATTAAAATAATTGTCTTTTGCTCCATTCCATTCTGCTCACTAGATTTGCATCCTTTTACGCGTTTCCAAGAAAGTGATGTAGTAGTTGCACGATCATCTGGCTGCTGTAATAATGTTCCCTAAAAACAGCACAGTTATTTCAATTTTACTATGTTGAAATTTTGTAAAAGCAGAAATTTACTTTGTAAAAGCAGATTAATAACTGTACAAAGGCAAATTTCTTAAATATGGTTCTAAATTATTTTTAATTCTTTCTCTTAATACTACTATGATAAAGTCATTTGCCACTCATTATGGCAACTGTTTCTGTAAATGCTTTCCAGTAAATATAGTCTGAAAATATCAGTATGAATTATACCAGCACTAACTTAACTTTAACTACTGTTTTTTTGGAGGTAAGAAGGAAAAGTAACTGAAAGAGAAGAGAACAAGACTGGTGGTGACACTGAGGTTAGAATGAGGGGAGAAATTCACTTTTTACTTAAAATACATCTGCTTTGTTTGGAATTTTTACAATGAGAATGTATTCATTAAATGTATTTTTTTTAATGTTTCATTTTTGAGAGAGAGAGAGAGAGAAAGAGAGAGAGATGGGGAGGCGCTGAGAGAGAGGGAGACAGAGGATCCAAAGCAGGCTCTGTGCTGATAGCAAAGAGCCTGCGGGGCTTGGAACTCAACAAACTGTGAATCATGACCTGTGCTGAAGTCTGATGCTTAACCAACTGAGCCACCCAGATACCCTCATTTAAATGTATTTTTATGAAATAGTCTTTTCTACCAAGTGAAAGAAACAATGTTTAACCTCTGAATATATAACTTTCGTATATGGAAGAAATGAGAAATCACCTATATATTGACTCACATTGTATACAGCACATTAGCTTCTATACAACAGAAAAAGAAACATTCTCACACTTACAATTCCTACTGCTTGAAAAAGTGAACCGTCATGTTCTATTTTTCGCTTTCTCTGAGCATTCTGCAAAGCTAGTATCTTTGGATTTAGTTCTTCTTCAGGAATGGTAGTTCTGGAAAAAAAAAAAAAACAACACATAGTTGCTTTACTATTTTTAAAATACCCAACTAACTTTTTTTGAGCAAAATAAATGATGCCTGTTTTCCAACATTAAGGAATATAATGTTAATATGTAAGAGAATTTTTCTGATTACTAAAGTTTATCATCTGAAGTCAAAGCTCAGTTTTTAAAAGAAAATTTCTTAAAATATGCATTTACCTATTTATAAAATAAATCTGAACAGAACTAAGTTGACATTTTTGTAGGTTAAAGTTAAATACTGGCTTTTCCATTCCAGCCAGTATAATATTCAAATATTCCTGGGACTATTATAAGAGTAACTTCACATTTCTATGGCTTTTTTAGTTTATAAAACATTGCATGTTCATTAGTTCATTTTAGTCTCACACCAATCTCCAAGAGATATAAAACACCCATTTTATAAATGAGAAACCTGAGGCTTGTTAGCAATGGGACTTGGAGCAAATTACCTGGTTAGCTGCAGATATGGAAGTGCCTTCTAGATCTCCTGATACCCATTCCCCTCCCAGTAATCTTCCACTAAGCCACTTTGCCCTCAGTATTGATCTGGTTGTCAAACCTGAACTATCTCCATTTAAAATTAATATTAAGTAGTAAATAACTGTTTTATGTATCAGGCACATGAATTCTCTTATCTATTTTGTCTTTTCAAGAACTCCTCCCCCCAGCCCATACACAATCACAACAGCTTCTTGCTCTGTTCCATATAGTTGAAAATGCCGTATGAGTGACACATTATTCAAACTGCTCTCCTACATGCAGTTTTGTTTTGTATTTTAAAAAATTCTGTAAAACCTTCATTATTATAGATAGGCAGGTTTTTAAATTCCTACAGAAATATATTATCTTTATGAAGTACAGTGCAATCTATCATATAAATATCATCTTAGTAGTAGCACTTCTAATGATTTATCAGCACGTGTAAGGGGGGCTAAGGGGAAGAGGGAGAGAGGGAGAATCTGAAGCAGGCTCCACCCCCCCCCACTCAGCATGCAGCTTGACGCAAGGTTCAATCCCATGACCCTGAGATCACAACCCAAGCCAAAATCAAGAGTTGAACACTTAACCAACTGAGCCACCCAGGCACTTCTTAATGGGTTATCTTTAATCTTTGCTCTAAAGCTGTAAGTCATCTGGTTTAGTGCAACATTAGAGAGGTCATAAAGAAAAAGCCTTCGTACAGTTCTGCAAGTATTTAGTGCATACTATTTTGATACTAATGTGAAAAAAAGTGACTAGATGTTAGACTTTGGTTTTGACAAGCACACAGTTGTTCAGAAAACGGAATATCCCATAGTCCTCTGTAGCTAATAGTAAACTGTAAATTATAGGTCATAGCCAATTCTATTACTATAGTCACTCATCTTCTAATAGCCATTTAGTGACCAAATATTAATACAATGAAATGTTTAAGAGACTGTCACCGCCTTAAAGGTCAGAGCCTATAGTCATTTGGTGACATACTAATTTATAAAGTAATATAAACGCTTCCTTGTTAATGTAAAGCCCCAAGATCTTTTCTTAGTTCTGGGAAAAGGTTTCTCCTAGCATTCTAGTTCAAAACAGTGATGAAAGGCAGGAGAAGAAAAGTCATAGACTCTTCTTATGCCAGTGCTTTTTCCTTGCTGTTGTTATCTGGTTCAGTGTAGGCACAAACAGAAATTGTTTCTTTCCTCTACAAACTGCCTCTCTGACTAGCTAAAATGTGTTTCCTTTGATTACAGCCTCAAATTTAAAATGTCAAATCCCGCTACAAATTATATACAGAAATTATATACAGAAATTATAACTTAAAATTTGGGTAGTGTACAGGTATTTGTTCAAACTAACTCCACAAAAGCAATATCATAAATCATGTTCAGATTCCTGTTGTAGCTCTTAAACCTATAGTCTAGCTAATGTTCTATAAAAATGTAATGGAAAAAGAGCACAATTATACATAAATTTTAAAAGGAGGCTTATAAATACCTATGTTGAATACTGAGGATTGAAGATCATCAGGCTCAATGTGAAATGGGGAATTGGAAATACCCTTACGTTGGAAGGTCTTTTATTCAGGTACGCTTTAAAATAGCTCAAAGAGACAGAAACAGTGAGGAGAGTTAACTAGTCTGATTTATTAAACAACTGCAAAAAACTGGGCCAATTTTTGTACATTTACTGAACTTACTGGCTGCATTTAATTTTTAGAAGTACTAGAAGATCCTCCTACCTCCTACATTTAGATAGGTGCTAAGGTTATCTTCAAGAAAACAAATACACAAGTTAATTTGAGTGCTTGTTTTAAGTCCAGAATTTGTATGTCAAAAACATATTACCAGAAAGTTTTCTATGCTTAGAATTAAGTTATTACCACACATACTTTCTCAAAAATAACAAATCAACTATAACTTTAATGTTGTATATAATTACCTTTGACTCAAAGTGACAGACAACACATTAGGGCTTCTTGGATGAGATTTTTCTGTCTGTTCTATGACTCCTTTTCCTGCTCTGTTTGGTGAGGGTGTCCGACTTCCAGTATCACCATACAGTGATGTTGTGGCACCAGTAGTTACTTTGGGTACATGGGTAGGAGATGGAGATGCAATCAGTATTTTAATGTCTTCTATACCATCTTTTGTCACTGTTTTTAATTCATCAGTGGTGGCAGTGGTACTGGTAGTGGTAACAGGAGGTTCCTCCTGCATTTGAGCCGGCTGGAATACTGTAATTGTGCCCACGCTTTGAGGGCTTGTAGAACTGCTTTCCAGTGGCGACAACTGATCAAAGGACCGTAACTGGAAGTCATCATCCATTGGGATGTAAGGAGCTAACATCTCCAAGTCTAAATCAGTGTCCTTTAAAACAAAAAATACATGAGTTTTTCAATGGCCACATCTTATAAAAGAAAAACAAGTTAAACCCAAAGTCACTTCCAACTAACAATTAATAAAGTTTAACAGAAAATATAATAAACAAGTTTATATACCTGGGTGGAAAATGGATTCTTGGCTTCTGTGTCTTCAGCAAAAAGTTTCTCTACCAATTCCAGCTTAAATTCATTGACCATATCACTATCCACATCAAAACAATATTCACTGGGACTGGTAGGCTGTAAAAGGAATTCAATGGGTTTACTTTTCCCTGAGGAAACCTGCACATATTTTGCTAGTTGTTAGAATTCTTAAACCAACAAAGTCCATCTCTTCTATCACATTTTATCTAACTAGAGAGAAGTTAAACTTTTGAACTTACCCTTGTAACTAATTTTGCCAACACATACATTTCTGTGTAACATCATTTATGAAATTAGGACTAAAAGGTATTGATCTGCTTCTAGGAGAATTCATTTAATAATTCAACACCCACATGGTACCTAATTGGCCAATAATTAGATATGATATACTTACTATTCACTGGACTCTACCTTTGTACTGAGAGGCCACGCTACTGTGGTGATCTACCTAAAAATCTCACATCTACCCTGGGATGAAGTAGGGGTAGAGACTTAAGTTGTTTTACTTGCATTCACCTTAACATACGTAGTACGATTTTGGGAGTTCTGAGCAAGGATTATAACCAGAAAACCAAAGCTATATAATTTAAGCATAAACTTTTGCTTCCCTCATTTTAACATTTTTGTTAGATTTACCTTTGTCTGATAAAAAACAAAATGAATCAATAGATTTTTATGCTGGGGAAGGTGAGCCACCAAAGCACAGAGTATATTTTCCCAAAGGCTATGAAATGTCAAATCTCCTCTTAGCCTGCCAGTTTGAATTGATAAATATTTAATGTAAACTTATTCACCATTTATTAAGGCTTATTTGTGCCTCACCAAGTCAGGATATTCAAGTCTGAGTTGTGCTACTCCTGAGCTATCTTCAGATATAGGAAGCTCTACTGAATCAAAATTGAATCATTCTAGATTTAGAAATAGAGCCCCATGTGACATCGTTAGGCTTGACCTCAGCCTAGCCCTTAAAGACTATTTTCTTTGTGTTTATAGAAAAACTATTATCAAGACAGAACTTGAATAAAAAATAGTTACCAAGTATTTGCTCTGTGTAAGACTTGGTATTTTCATGTTAAATTTACCCAGAATTTCAAGTAATGGAAATTGGACAAAATTCAGCAATTAGCTTATGGTCCTTTCCCTTTTTAAGCTTTGCTAAAGTAAGGTTTTTGCTACTTGACAATTCTCCAACACAATGAGTAGTATGTATGGGCTTGGAGCTATTATAGGCACAGACATTATTCTCTATCAATGACTAAATTAAAAACTTTTTTGGTACTCATTTTATAAATACATTCCTGAACATTAAAATATGAAAGTTATGCTCTTCTTTTATTATGACACCTACCTCAGGTGAACTCTGTCTAGTGCTTCCATCAGAAGGACTAGCTGGCTGATCTTGAATCTGGGGCATAGTAAAAGAAAGTTCCAGTGATTCTGGATTTGGCTCTAATTTTAGTACAACTTCTTGATTGAGTGCAGGGTCAGCACTACTTCGAAGTGGCTTTGGAGTTTCAGAAGCAGGTAATGGAGACATTGCCAAATTTATGTTCTGTAATTTTTCATTGGATGAGGGAAGCATTACATCATTATACAATGGAACTTCCTCAAGTTGCTGGTCATCAGTTTCTGTGTCTATAGGTAAAAAATTATTAGTCAATTTAAAGAATAGCTATATTTTAACATATATAGAAATGCAAGCCCCCTTTTACAACACGTCTAATTCACTCAAACAAAAATGTTGCTAAATTTTCCTTCATCAGAAAGTTTACAGATCTTATGGTACAACTCTAAATCTGAATTATCTTTCCAATCTACTATTGACAGCTCCTATTATATTTATAGCATAAAAACCCCCGCAAGGGCACCCGGGTGGCTTAGCTGGTTAAGCTTTCAACTCTTGATTGTGGCTCAGGTCATGACCTCACAGTTCTGTGGCACTGAGCCTGAGTTGGGTGGGCTCCCTGTGGACAGTGCAGAGCCTGCTTGGAGTTCTCACTCTCTTTCTCTCTGCCCCTCCCCCACTTACACGTGCTCTCTCCCTCAAAATAAGTATAAAAAAAAAAAAAAACCAACTCTGCAATTCCAACCCTTTCACACCTTTTATTCATTAAAATTTAACTAACTTTGAAATTACAGTTTTCATTTTCAATGTCTGATATTATGGTATGACTGGTGATTTATCCTTTAGTGAACTATGCCTATTGCAATAGAACTCTGCTCAATTGTGGAGAAAATAGGGCAATGGGAAATACAGAAATAGCAGGGTGGTTGAGAAACATTAAAGTGGGAAGAAGAAATACCTAAGCACCCTTTGAAGCACAATTTCCAATAATATGACAGAAGCAGGAATGCTGAGAAATTACAGAGGCAAAAATACTTAAGCAAATACTTTGAAGACTTTGAAAAACAAATTATATGACTACAACATCCAAATGATTACCCACAAAAAATGTCCAAATTCAGTTAAAATGGGCTTACAGCAATAGACATAGTTTAGGCAATCAACAGAATAACTAAAGACCCACCATTGCTGCCGAAATCTAAAGATATGATTGTGTCTCCAGCAGCTGGTGCCAGCAAAGTTAAAGCATCAGGTTCCTTCTTAAGTTTATCAAACAGACTACTTGTGTCTTCTGATTCAACTTTGGTGAACAGCTGAGTCATTTTCATATCTGAAGATTCAACTGGTTTGAGGACACATTCTGTTTGTTGAAGGGAGAAAATCAAGTCGTGCTGAATAATACCACTGTCAAAAAAGAGAGATTAGTAATTCTTAACTGAGCACTGACACAATGCAGGGGGTCTCTGAAGCAACCTTGTCTCTTAAAATACTGCTTTATGAAAAGGAACATTTTAAGATGCTTTAACCTAATAGTTCATGCATACTTGCTCACATTCAGGGTTTAAAATGCCAATATGAAATAAAGACCCATAAAAATTCATAGTATAAGATAGTTTAAATATTTGACTAAATTAAGAAACTTCAGCTATCCCTTTGGGAAGAGTGATGGTGACAAAGAAATGGAATAGTCAAGTACATGAAGGGCACCAACACATCTAAACAATTTTTGTGAGGATTCACATGTAATGAAACTGGCACAGAAGAACTCTTTGGGACTGATGTATGAGGCATGACCTAAGGATGGCCCTAGAATATAAAGACATATAGATAAATGACCAAGGCCTAAGGCAGGTGCCATATTTTCCTTGGTGGTAAGAAAATGATACGGTGATAACACCTACAGGATAGAGTGGAAGAGGGATGATGAACAACAGATCCATGTGTTTGGCTTAAATGTAAGTTTTTATTGTTTCTTTAATCACAAACATTTAGGTGTTTACTAAGTGAAATAAACCAAGGATACAAAGTTTAAAATACCTAACCCTTGTCCTCAGAAGTGCAATGTAGATGTGCAAACAATTAAAATACAAAATAGTAATTGCTAAAATAGAGAAGGTGTGCTTCACAGCCAACAAGCTGAAACTTCGGCTCAAGTAGGGTTTGTTAGGCAGATGGGACAGGGGCAAAAGAAGGACATTCCAAGTGGGTAATTTAATGGGAAAGTCACAAAAGAACTCTTTGACACTAATATTAAAACATTAAAGGATGGGCGCCTGGGTGGCTCAGTCAGTTGAGCGTCCAACTCTTGATTTCAGCTCGGGTCATGATCTGAGGGTCATAGGATTCTGCCCTGAGTCAGCCTCTGGACTGAGTGTAGAGTCTGCTTAAGATTCTCTCTCTCCCTCTGCCCCTCTCCCCCAATTGCACACTCTAAAATTAAAAATTAAAAAAAAAAAAAAACAAACATTAAAGGATGGTGTCAGAAGTGGCAAAAATTAAAACAAGTGACCAAAGTCTTACCAAGAGAGGTAGTCACAGATTTTAGAAAGAGGGTAGGTGGAATCAACGAAAGCATGAAGAATATAGAAAATGACAAGAAATGATGCTATGTAAGTTAAGCAAGGGTTTATCTCGGGGGTGATAAAGCATCTTTAAAACAATTCTAAGGAAAAGGAGATGCTCAGATATCCATGCAAGAAAACTCAGCATGGTGGTAATGTGGAAGATGGACTAGAAGGGAGTCTGCTGAAGCAGATCAAATGGAAGGCCAGTTTATGATATCCATAATATTCACAAGCCAGTCAACTAAAAGAAGAGTTCTTGAATACACAAGAGCCATGCACTATATTATACAGCCTTTTATGGTAATCTCACATAGATTTCATTTAATCCTCATTTCTGAGGATTAAATATCCTCAGAATATTGAGGAGATAAATATCATCTCTCCTATATGGGTGAAATTCAAAGCAATAAGAACTTCCCAAGGTCATGCAGCTAATAAGTGAAAGAGCTATGACACAAAGCTACCTATTCCAAGGCCAGGGTTCTTCCTACAAAAATAACATAGCTATTTGAGATAGTATATGCTGACAGAAATAGGACTAGAGCAAACTAACCCAATAGGAGATATGGTATTTTTTTAACGTCTTTTTAAAAATGGGAGTGAAAAGAATGTGAATAGATGGGTACTGGTAATAGTACAATCATTGCAGAATAGCAGGCCTGGACACTCAGGTCTAAGTACTGAAAACCGTAATTAGGTGGAAATGTGAAAATAAAATTCAGTTAACATTTTATAATCTTATCTCCCTTTATATAAAAGAACAAAATATCCAAAAAGGTTATTATTTCCTCCCCCAAAATATTTACTTTTCAGGCTCACCTCACAACGTAATTTACACATACAATGCACTGTGGTTGAGAGTTCTTAGTGTTATATATGACGGTCGCTTGAGTTTCAACCCAGACATATCCACCTCTTTTGGCAAGCATCCTGTACTGTCCTGTGGTGACTTGGCCTTTAGTAAACACTAGGAGTGAAAAGGAAAAACAGTCATGCAGAGAAAATAACTTCTAATTTTCAATCAAATAAATGGATGCTGAATGTTGGTTATTTTAGAAAAGAGATGTTTATTTTAATAGAATCAGTTATAATTGTTTAAAGTGACAGAGAAAAAGCCCCAGCATAGCCAAAAATATACACAGTTCATTCTTCTAACTCCTAAAATAAACTCCTTTCCTGCCAATCTTCACTTTAAATAAAATGAAAGCCAGGAATGAGGGACAGCAGTGACTAATTCCTTTAATGACTTATATGTTGAAAGTATCAAAAAGACTAGACAATGAATAATCTTGATTCTACAGAGCACATTTGAGCAAGTGGCACTGCTACATTTCCTTACGTTTCTACTGAGGTTTCCAGAGAATTAGCAATGCTTCAAATAGCTGTGCACGCATATTTGAATCTCAACTGGTATCATGCTGAAATCTTGGCAATTTAGGCAAACTTAATCAATTGCTAATTTGGGAGCAAGTACCAGATAAAAAGTAATGATGACATTATCTTGAGTCTTGGGGTCCTGACTGCTGACTTGGGCTCATTTTGTAGTTCAAGGCTAATTATTCTAACTCAGTGACATTCAGGTATCCCCGATCACATTGGGAAGTCATGTTTAGGTACAGATTAAATAAGCAAGTGAGATTCGAAAGTCTTACTATGGGATCTTCAAATAACATTCACGAGTATTTATCTTATGTCAAGTGTACTTGTTACCACTTGTACATGACATTGATTGCCTTCACATTCACTAAGTCACTCAATAATTATTTTCTAAGTGCCTTCCATGTGCTAACAACTGATCTAAATACTTCAATGTGAATTCTGAAAATGATGCTATAATATTCCATGACATTTTTTAGTCTTTGTATTAAAAATGCCAGGTTAGTTTTATATATTATTAAATGATTCTACTTTAACTAGTATCAGTTACAACAAATACAAAACATAGATTTAATGGTTGACATCCCTTATGAAGAGTTCTATTAAGATATTTGGTCTAGGAAGACTGATTAATTTTAACCAAAAAGTTAGATATATGGCCAAACAGTAAGGAGATTGCAAATTACATAATTAGAAAATCTATATAGTTTTTCCATTGTACTTACTGTCATGATGAGTTTTGGTCAGATGGTCAGAGTCCAAAGCGTGGTAATATTCATATATCGAGCGGCCCAAAAGTTCCTCTGGCTCGTATCCCATCAATTCAGTAATTCTGTTAAGTAAAAAATGTAAGAAGAGAAAGAGAAATTTTGCTTCTTTAAAGTAACTGATATGAATTAATCTCATGGACAAGTGAATTTTCAAAACTAAAGAGCATCCTTCTTTGCTAAGAAGAAGTTTACATCTCACTTTTGGTAACTCTACAGTTACTAAATACGGCACCATGCATGTTCTTTAAATCCTCTGGATTCACATCCTGCTACTTAACCCATTTATCCCTTTCACCCAAACTCATTACATATTGTCATCATGTTTTACTGTACTTACTTTTGGTAATAAGGGGATTCATAAGTAGACAGAAAGTACTGCTAAATAAAATGGTAAAAGTTGTAATGGTAATCACTGACATTTAACTTGAAATATAAGATTAAATCCATAACATTAGTTTACCATAAAACCAGATTCTTTTTGTATTGAGTGTGTACAAACCAGATTCTTTATTTAACAGTGCCCTTAGGCAAGGCTTCAGTCAACATCTACTACACAATTTTAGTATCACCAACCAAAGAATATCTACACTAAATGGAAGTAAAGAGATACACATTATGTTTGTTTTAGAAGATGCTCTTGTAACTTAGTTTTTTAAATAATATAAAATTATAGGAATTCATTTTAGATGAAACAATGATATCAAACTGAAAATGGACTAGAAAGTAATCTAGTCTAACCCCTTTTGGTTTCCCGAAAGTTCTTTTAGGACATAGATTAGATCTTACTACTCTGTGTAACCAGTCAGAAACAGAACCCATTTCATGTGAATGAGAAAGCTGTCTTCTTAACACCACACTTTGCTCTCTTTTTTCTAGGAGCAAAACCTGAGTTAAACTTTTCAATTTCTCAGGACTTCCTGAGTTGTAAGCAAAAGTTACTTAGTGTACTGTGTCCAAAAAAAAAAAAAACAACTATAAAAAACACACAAGAAAGATATCCTTCTAAGAAATGTATAAAAGTAAAATGTATAAATGTATAAAAGAGTTTGTGCTGTCACACTTTAAGGCAAGATCTGCCATACAGTTTATTCCAAAATAATTATAAATAGAAAGAGGTTTGTAAAAAAACACAAAAAACAAAAACTAAACCAAAGCTAAAATCCAGACTTCTTTACAAAGAGGTATCTCTAAACACATCTGCACTAGGTGGCAGCATTACAAAGGAAACTAGTATTTTTAAAAAATGGTCCTATTTCTTTAAATTATGCTTTAAAAATAACTTTAATTCATCTTATATTGGTTACTTTTAAACAAAATTCCCGTGGGATTAAAAAAACTTCCATTATTTAAATCTTTATATGCCTGGGGCACCTCTGTGGCTCAGTGGGTTGAAGCATCAGACTCTTGATTCCAGTCAGGTCAGGTCATGATCTCACGGTTCATGAGTTCAAACCCCACATCGTGCTCTACACTGACAGCACGAAGAATGCTTTGGAGTCTGTCTCTCTCTGTCTACCCCTCCCCTGTTTGTACTCTGTCTCTCAAAATAAATAAATAAGTAAACTTAACAAAAAAATAAATCTTTATATGCTAAGTATGCCTGGCATTGTTCTAGGTGTGAAAATGCAAAGTCAAAACTAAACGTGTAGCTAATCTTCTGGAACACTTACCATACTACTAATGAAATAATGTGGTAAGTGTAATGATGGTAATCTGTTGCAGGAATCAGAGGAACCACCCTTATCAACGAGAAGAAATGGTTGGGTGAGCAGCAAAACCATTTCAGGAAGAAGATATACCAGAAGCAAAGACAGAGAGAAGACAATGCTTGACAGTGTATAAATGAGAAAGACTTTCATGTGGTTAGTAGGGGCAGGTGAGAAGAGATGAGGCTAGAGATGTAAGCAGATTAATGGGGGCCTTTTATTATCATGTTAAGAAGCTCTGATTTAATTAGATGTCAATCAGTGCTTCTCAGAGTTGAGGTCCATCTATCATTAAGGGATGCAAGATGTTAAAATATAAACAGAATGCTTTCCTAGAAAGTCAATTTTATTTAACTTTAGAGAATTATATAGCTTATATTCTGTACCAAAAAGGAGAGTGATCCAGGAAATTTGATCATAATGTGTTTTTTTTTTTTTTTAACATTTATTTATTTTTGAGACAGAGAGAGACAGAGCATGAACGGGGGGAGGGCCAGAGAGAGAGGGAGACACAGAATCTGAAGCAGGCTCCAGGCTCTGAGCCTGATGCGAGGCTTGAACTCACGGACCGTGAGATCGTGACCTGAGTGAAGTCGGACGCTCAACCGACTGAGCCACCCAGGCGCCCCGATCATAATGTGTTTTTAATGGACTAGGAAACCTGTGATCTAAAGCAACAATGCAGTGTATTATTCATTCATTGTAAGTGTCCTGAGACCAAGAACTGTTACTCTTCATTTCTACTTTGCCATGAACATTGTAGATGCTCAAACAAATGTGCGGATTAACTATAAGCAGAAATTAGTACAGTAAATAATAAGCATTTGTGAGATATTTTGAATGCCGTAAGTTTTGGGTAGGTTAGATTTTCTCAAAATTGGGCAAAAATTTTTCTAGATCTCAGTTATTAGGGGTTTTAATGTGAGAAGTTTCTGTAAAGAGCTCTAACCAGAAAATAACAATCTCCCGGTCAAACTTAAAACCTCACTTGGCTGATCTCTAAGTTGGCAGTCTTTACTCCTCTGTCATGATCATTTTGCCAGTTTTCTGATAGGACCTGAGAGAAATGTCACTCCCTTCCTCAATTCTCATTCTAGCTCCACTACTTTCCATTCTCCCTAGCCTATCTCTATACCTTGCTACTGAGTTCAAAAGATAAAAAATAATTCCTCAAAAAGGGATGGGTATCTCTGTTCTATCATATATTCACATGATTGATGGCAATAAACACCATAAAATGCTTGTCACCAGTGGTGAAGCATTTATTACATGTACAAGGCACTCAACAAACTCCTTCAATTCTGACAACAACCTTTTGAAATATTACCCTTATTGTAAGGATAGTAAAATTTGAAAGAGTTAAGTTTTTAAAAAAAAAAAAATTTTTTTTTTAACGTTTATTTATTTTTGAGACAGAGACAGAGCATGAACAGGGGAGGGTCAGAGAGAGGGAGACACAGAATCTGAAACAGGCTCCAGGCTCTGAGCTGTCAGCACAGAGCCCGACGCGGGGCTCGAACTCACGGACCGTGAAATCATGACCTGAGCCGAAGTCGGCCACTTAACCGACTGAGCCACCCAGGCGCCCCTGAAAGAGTTAAGTTTTAATACCAAGACCACACTGTAGTATCAGAGCTGCAAGCCAGGACTGAATCCAGGATTATGTGATTCTAAAGCCAGAGATCTGTCACATTTCCTTGTCCACTATGGTGGGGATTTCTACCTACTTTATATTATGACTAAGTGCTTAAAATTGGTTCCCTCATACAATCTTTAAGATGACCCTACGTTAGGTAGGTGTTACAAAAGATGAAGAAACTGATGCTCAAAAAGAACTAATGGGCCCAAGATCACTTGGATATAGGCAACAGAATCAGGATTTAGTAGTCTGGCTACATAATCTATGCCTTCAGCTATGATGTTATAGTCTTATAGTAAAAAGTGAGACAAGTAAATAATTACAAGTGTAGAAGAAATGTTATGACAGACATATGCACAAGAATAGTATAGTGTCCTGAAGGAACAAGGAAGGCTTCCCAAAGGAGTATCTAGATGGCTCCTGAAAGGTAAATATGTGTTAGGAGTTGAAGAAAACCTCACTGCAGAATGGGAAAATACATGTAAAGGCGCTAAGACAGCAAATGAGCACATGGTGCTCTCTAGCTGTAGGGTGTTGGGGGGGGGGGTCACACCCTCTCTTCCTTATTAATTTAGACAAGTGGGCAGAGGCCAGATCATAAATATCTTTGTTGGCCATGCTAAGCAAAGTTTGGGTTTTATTGTCATGGTCTATTTTTCTTTCAGCTTTTCAAAATGCACATTTTTCTTTTGATAAAGAAAAATCTCCTGCCCTCCTCTAATATTTTTATAAACCAGAGTTTTTTCTGTGTAAAGATCTGATTTTCACATTAGGAAGTCCACTGTTTGGGATCCTGGATGAGAGACTAGAGGGCAAAAATCTGTGGGCAAAGAGACAGTTTAGGAGATTATGGCAACAATTTAAGCCAAAGGTAATGAGCTGAAGAATTCAGTGGCAGGAAAGCAAGGGTGGAAAGGAACAAATGGATCAAAAAATGTATTTAGACAGTAAATCTGTAAGATTTAGAGACCGACTGGGTATACATAATGAAGGTAAAAGAAAAGTTAAGGATGACTCCCAAATATTTGTAGGAGTCGTATGCCTATAGTGATATACTAACCATGCTAGGCATTATAAAAGGAAAAGCAATTTCTGAGGTTGATGTTTTGGGGCAATAGTAGTACAGTTCAGTTACAGAAATATTTTATTAATATAGAAAAATATCCAAATAAAAATATCAAATTGGCAATTAAAAATAGTTATGAACATAAAGGGAAATGGCAATAGAAATCATGGGCAATATGTAGGGTGAGGAGATGATCAAACACTTTCCTTTCTTGTCCATAACCAAAAGTAACCTATTCTTCCTCAAATTATGCATTATATGTCTTTGCTATGGACTAATTAAAACTTTCATGTTATAGTTTGTATATCATTTACCTTTCATCACAATAAGAAAATTTCATATCCAGACTATGACGACTCAGAAAAGTCTTGCTATCTAAAGGAATTTCAATATTTGATGGATGAGGAATGGGTTCACAAATCAGCACCAAGCACGTCATGGGTGGTTTCTTATACCCACACTGAGATTGGTTACTATTGGTATCGTAGACATGAATATGGCCTGTGCAGTGAAGTACCTGTGTACAAAGAAAACAAAGCAATTCTTTAAAAAATATAAAATGCTAGTTAAAAAAAACCACAGAGATAAATAGCTGAAGTGTGACATGGCAAGTAAGCTTTGATAAAATTTACTGTCATTCATGGATTAACCCTATCTTTGAAATCAATAAATGTTTCCCCTGTGACACCACTCAAGACTCAGGCACCATAAATTACTCTTTAAAATACTCTCTTCATACAAATCTGGGCTGATTTTTCATTCATTTAGTCATAGTGGCAGTTTTATTTATTATTTTTATTATTCTTGCTTTGATGATTATTTCAACACCGAGCAAAGAAATGAAACAAAAATGAATAGAAAATTAATTTCTATCAAGATTCAAACACTGGGTGGGTTGGAAAAACCAGCTGATTAAGTTAGATTGGTATACCAGTATCACAATTCACTTAAGTTCATGCCTCAAAATGGCAAATTACTACAATTTGGGATGGTAAATCTGCAAATGCCAATGAACAACTGTACGTTTCCCCTCACAATTCTAATGCTATCTTAAATATTAGCAGTGTTAAGATGTATGAATTTATCTATAAACCAAGTGCATCACCACTTAGAAATCATTTTTACTTACTTTCCACGTTGCTGACTTTATGTTCATGGTTCTCCCTCGGCTAGTTAGGGTACACTTCATTCTGAGAAAAAAGCTTCGCTGTGTATTCTGCTCTTTACCCTTCTTCACAAGGCCTAATAAAAGCAGGAAATAAAATTTAAAAGCATAATTAAATATTTAAATTTGTTTTAGTAAGAGTAGCACCTAGGTACTATTCAATTAAAAGTCTCAGCATAAACAGTGATTCATACTCAAACACATCCAAGGGATTAATATGCTCGAATCAGTAACTGGGGTTCACAGTTCCAGTGATTCCCTGATTGCAAATAACAGTTAACCATTTCACACTGAAGCCAGTAAAGCTGGCAAAATTACAAAGAAATACAAATGTAGGAATCTGCCTTATTAAGTGTACCCATTTAATTGCTGTATCCGTGTAATAAGCACACCCCCCAAAAAAGAACTTCAGTGAACTCCTCCAACCTTTGCTAAATGTGTTAGCTCAATTTATAATAAACACTCCATGTATTTGCAGAACTTTTAAAATATCAACTTTCTTTTCAAAGCAGGTAACATTTTTATATATCTGACGTTTCCTTAAATCTTCCTGTAAAGCAGGCATGATGTTATTTCTACTTTGTTATTAGAGGAAAAAACCAAAATATTGAATGACTTTTCAAAGCAAAATTAGAGTGAAATAAATTTAGGTCTATTTATTCCCATTCCAAACCTTATATAACTAAAACATGGTGAAAAGGAAAATAATGAAAAGCACAGAGGTGGGGAAAAAACACATGTTTGGGGAATAGATAGATGCTAGTAGATAGATCAGGTTGCTGCAATATAAAGTACTTGCAGAAGTGTAATGAGACAGTTAGAAAGGGAAGATTAGGGCTGTAACTGGAGGGCCTTGGATGCCCTAATTAGGAGTTCAGCTTTAAATATACAACATGGAGCTTCTAAAAAATTCTGACATGGGAAGCACAGTCAGGAACTTACGGTACATTAATCTAGAAGCAATATATATGATGTATTAGAATTAAAATACAATGATGGTAATCAGGCTGAACAGTAAAGAGAAGTGAAAAGAAGGGTGACAAATGACATATAAAGAACTAGAAAAAACTTGAAAACTGATAGAAATAAGTGGGGAGGAGGGAAATAAAAAAAAGGATCTGGAGATTTTAAGGCTAGTATATTGAAAAAAAGTGTCAAGTAGAAAAGAAATAAGATAGTTTAAATTTAGGCTTACTTAGGTAGAAACGCCGGACTCTTCTAGAAGAGTTCTAATTCCATGCTAGTGGAATTAGGCAAAGGGGCAGTCTTGGTGCTGATATAAGTTATTTGGGTTTAGTCAAATCAGGATTCAATTTGCCCTCCCTCACAGTGTTTGGGAATGGATTTTAAAAAGATGCCACAAGAACCACACTGGTCTCAGTGGTGGTACAGAGCTGTGTTGTGGTTGTGATGCCAACAGAGATCTACTTGTAAATTCTTTGAGGATTTTCAGTCCTTCGTAATCTAAGCTTGAATTGTACTGACCTTTGGAAACCCAAAGCCTTTGAATTGGGACAGGAAGATTAATTTAAAAACCAAGGTACTATCATTTTCCTAATGGAAAAAAAAAAAACATTTTAAAAGAACTAAATTTTCAGACCTTTAAAAATAAATCATATTTTATAATAATTTAGTGAACTCTAAGTCATCATTTTAGAATTTAAATGAAAAAAATAATAGAACTATGTTGTATAAACACACCACTGGTTCTTAGCATAACATTAATATGTGACGCATTGCAGCAAACCCTTTTTCTAATGCGTATCTGTTTCCCAACAAAACATCAAACATTCATTACATTAGGAATGATTTCAAAAAGTTCATGTGCTTTAAAAAGCCATTTGTTTAAAAAAAAAAAAACATTTGTTCAAAAACATACATTTAAACTATATTATGTGGAATATATTTGATTTAGAATAAAGCATTAGCATCACTGCCCAATCAAAACAAAATTTCCTCATATCCATCCATTCATAGCCCAAGGGAAGAACTGAGCATCCAAACTTCAGTGTCTAAACTTCAAAGTCTAAACACTAGAAGTCCTATACTAAACTAATTGACAGCCCACTTAGGTCCCTGTGTGAAGTGTATTTACTCTTCCTTTATACAGGAACTCTAAAAATCATACTTGTTTTCCCAAGTTCACAGTGAACACCAAGTATTAAATTAAAAAAAACAGAAGGCTCCTACTGAAAGGGTCAAAAGTAGCCACAGAAAGTACTGAGAGTTGTTGAACATGAAAGATCTCCAAAGTACTAATGAGCCCAACTACCTGAGTTTAACCTATACTGTGCCATTTACTAACCAAGTAATCTTGGGTAAGTTTCCAAATAATTGTGCCTTAGTTTCCTCAGTAAAATAGAAATAGTAACTTCACAGGGTGTTGTGAAGAAAAAAGGCATTAAAGCATATAATCTGCAGAGAACAGTGTTCTGGCACAGAGTAATCTCTCAATAGAGGTTAACTATTATCATAAATGAAAGGAGATTAAAAAAACATAAAAAATATTCAAAAAGTGCTATGAACTTGAGGTTGTTTAATACAGAAGCAAACAAACTTATACACTTAAATTAGAGAGCTGCAAAGGACAGCTACAGAGCATAATGACAAATTTTCATTGTGGTGACTATAAATTATCAGTATACTTTGTGCCTTAAGAAGGTACAGGTGGAGAGACTAATTATTAAGCTTTTGTAATTCAAGAGGTATTTTCCAAAAATCTTTGAAGACTTATTTTGAACAATTCAATCCTAGGGGCATATGGTGGCTCAGTCAGTTAAGTATCTGAGTCTTGATTTTGGCTCATGCCATGATCTCAGGGTTCATGAGATCAAGCCCCTCATTGGGCTCTGCACTGACAGCATGAAGCCTGCTTGGAATTCTCCCTCTCCGTCTCTCTCTCTGCCCCTCCCCAGCTTATGCTCTCTCTCAAAATACATAGACATTAAAAAAAAAAAAAAAAAAAACCCTCAAGCCTGAGAGTTAAGAGGTCTTAGTGGGTCTTTTTTGTTGCTGCTAATGTGGGGGCATTCAATAATATAATACTTTATGATCTTACTACATAGTCTCAAATTACTGTGAACATCCTGAAGTCAAATAAACAATTAGGCTTTTAAAAAATCTGGTGAACTTTCTTTTTTCTTTACCCTGGTCCTTGAGAAAGCTTGAACATAAACTGGTACCTCAAGTATAACAACTATCTAAAATCTTATTATTTATTATGACTTCCCCTTGCCTAAAAGTTGTATGTTATAAACTGACCTCTTTGGGTCTTGACTTTTTCATTTTATGTAGTATTATTATCTATATAATTATTTATGGAATTCAGTGAGCTTTAAAAATTAAGGTATTTTTATGAAATTTCTAAAAAATAGAGTAACAAAGATTTAACAAAGAACAGAATAACATTTTATTAAACATGAAATGATGTTTTGAGCCTTAGGTTAGTACAATAGCAGAATTTTTAAATTAGTAACAGTATTTTATTAGGTAAAACCACCTGCCAGATTAAATCAAACAACAGACTTTTCTTCTTACCATTTCTATGTGTAAGCATTTCTCTCATTTCTTCATGGTCACATGGATGAGTAAAATCAAACACACTGTGTCCAGTTAGTTCAAACTGTAGAAACATTAAAAAAAATTAGATCTGTATCATAAAATCAAAAAAAAATTAGAAGTGCTCTTAATATGTGGGTATTTTACCTGAGTTAATCCCATGTACTTGTTCACATTATCAGAAATGTAGATCATGTCACCATCATCTGTGAGAACCATAACAAAACCATCCAAGGCTTTCAAATAAAAGCAATTCATCTGTGCCTTCATTTCATCTTCAATATCTAAATCACCTAAAAAAGGACACAAGAAAAGGAAAATAAATTAAAAGTTATACTTAAATGATAGCAATATTTAGGTAGTTGTATAAAGTTTTCCCCAGATACTTTATTTAAAAACTAAAATTAGACTTGCCAGTTGCTTTTAATGATTATTATTTTTTTTAATGTTTATTTATTTTTGAGACAGAGCATGAACGGGGGAGGGTCAGAGAGAGAGAGGGAGACACAGAATCTGAAACAGGCTCCAGGCTCTGAGCTGTCAGCACAGAGCCCAACTCGGGGCTCGAACTCACGGACCGCGAGATCATGACCTGAGCCAAAGTCGGCCGCTCAACCGACTGAGCCACCCAGGCGCCCCTAATCATTTTTAAAGTAACATGGCAAGCAAACCATTGAAAAGAAGGGTCATGTTATTAAAAGGAAGACTGGTAGCAAGGTGGGGCAAAAGAGAAAGAGGGGGAAAAGGCCAGTATCTTAAAAATTCCTTACTGAAGCTTTAAAAGCAGGTAATAAAAATTACATTAAAGGACAGAGAGTATGACCACCTTCTAATTACTTCTAATTTCTAATTTTTAGGCTCATTACGCCCCTGTAAAACAACTCACCAGCATCCAGAAGTTTCCTCACACGCAAATAGCTGATGGTGAGCCTCATAACAGAAGCCTTATCGAGATGTGAGCTCACATTATGGGGAAGTGGCAACTGATGAGCAAGTTCATAGAAAACTTCAGATTCTTTACTTCGCCGAGATCTCGCTGCATCTCTAGACTTTTCTTTTCGACGTTCAGAACTTATCCTATTGAGCAAAAAAAGGAGGACAGAAAAAGAAAATTTATATAAGTTAGCTTGCCTTTGCTTGGATAAAACTAATTTTACATTTTTCTGCTTTCCATAAAACAATGTGAAGATGCCATGTAATTATACAGAGATTGGTCTACTACATGAACGTGTAAAGTAAGAATGTAGGAGACAGATACACAAATTTCTGGATTACTGAAGACATAGGGAACTCTAACAAAGAAGTCCAAGATGGAACTTTAAACCTGTCTGAAACAGGTATTTCCTTCCTGGCATATCAAATTAGAGAGGACATTTTGTTTTAGCCAAAGTCTTAAAAGTAGCCTGTGTATGTGCACCCTCATAGCCATTCAGAAGTAGTTTCAACATAAAGAAAGCACCATTAAGTCTAAAGAAACTAAAGCTGTACATATTAACTTGAAAACAGGAGTTGTTAAGCTGGCAGAACAGTTACAGCTACAAACTGATTTTTGACTTGTTTCTTTGGACTCTGATATTTTCCCAACTTCTTCTACCCTACCACATGAGCAATACTGACTATAAGCTAAAGAAATCTATATTAGCAGCTATAACAAGTTACCATTTTCAGGTTGCTTATTCCCTTAGCAGCCTCTTTAGCAGCCCTTTTTCTTTACTGGCACAAGTACCAAATAAAGGCAGGAGTATAGAAGAAAAAAAAAAAGATGTGACACAATACTAAGAATTGAAAGAAACAGGTTAATAAACATTAACAAAGGTGTCAAAACAAGGATATATCTTTAGGGAACTTTTCCAAGAATAAAGTCAGAAAGATTTTCCTAAGCAGAGACATTCCCTTCCTTTGCTTGACTGTGTAGAAACATCTATTCCTCCTGACCCAGCTGGAGGAGGTAAACAAGGCTAACCCTGGTTCTGTCCTTAGCTTCTTTAAGAGCTGTTGTTTATTAAAACCTACTATGTGCCAAATGTTACCCCGTACCAGGTGCCTAGTTCTCTCAAAATTTGTAAATAGGGTAAATATTATCCTTTTTACAGATGAGGTTATACAGTAGGCTAAAAACAGCCATTAGCAGACGGGATTTGAACTCACAAGGTGTTTTTTTCACTCCCAAGTCTGTTTGCTCTTCCAGTGTTTTATCTTAAGGAAGAATGCTGCTTCTACCTCAAATACTCAGCATGCTCCTATGACTTTCAACCTAATTCTGTTAAGTCAATTATTTATTAAATGTTGAAAACGGCTGTTACCATTTATTAAGCACTTAGCACTATGCTAAGGACTTTGTCAGCATTCTATCACTTAATCCTCCTTACATCCTATGAATGAAGCACATAATTGTATCTACCTCAAATCTCTCCTCCCTCCAAATTATCTGCAAAACTGCAAGGTTCAATCATAGAAGCAACACTCTCAAAAAAACAGGCAGGGTTCTCAGCACATGCTCCCATTATGTTGAGTAACAGTTGTATTGTGCAACAGTGATAATCTAGTTTTAACACTTAAATTTGTGTGTGTATCTGACTTTTATACATTAATAAGGAATGTGAATATTTGCTGTTGTTAGTAACTGAACTTTGATACAAATTTTTCAACTCAAGCATCTAGATCAATTTTACTTGAGTATTTTGAGATTTAAGGTAAGCTATTAAAAACTATTACTATTTATAACTAGCGATCTATGTGAATCAAGATTTTCTTAATGACATATAATATTTTTAAGTTTATTTATTTTGGGGGGGGGGACAGAGAGACAGGAAGAGAGAGAATCCCAAGCAGGCTCCACACTGTCAAATGTGCAGCCCGACACGGGGCTCGAACTCACAGGCCATGAGATCATGACCTGAACCAAAATCAAGAGTCAGACGCTTAACCAACTGAGCCACCCAGGCGCCCCAATGCTGTATAATTTTTAAAAAACATGAAAATAAATTATGGCTGCCATGAAAATTCAATAATGTCAACAGTCTGCAACTTCATTTTTATGCATTAGAACTGCCTCACTGTTCTCGTTAACTTTTAATGAATGTTTAAATTTGAACTTAGAATAAAATGTAAAATAATAAAAGTTTTCAAAATCTATTTTATACACATACCAGAGTTTCTAGGGGACAGAGATCCAATATGTCCCTATTGGCTCTAGCATCTAACTTTCCTCTCTTTCCCCTCTGAATTGGCAAGTGAGAGGAAGGGATGATAGTGGAAATCAGATTACTATCTGGTTCAAGTAAAGCCAGCAAAAAAAGTGTGATGACCAACTGACCTGAATATTAGTTCAAATGTCACAATTAGTCCAGGTGATCAGAATTTTATCAACAACTTTCATCAAACTTACTAGGCTTCTTTTGTTAATTAACCAAATTAAAGCTACCAACAAATGACTATCCAAATTTTTACTTGGTAAAAAATTTAAATCCTTTTATTACCTGCTATATGCTTTTAAAGGGTATCTGATCTAGCTAACCATGGTGATTACACCTTTAGAAACACTTGTATTGTCCAGAACTCTGAAGATAATATTGTTAAAGATGTGGCAACTAAATTTATAAGACAAATCCATAAGAAATGTGAGCCTGGATAAAACATTTATAGCATAATATACTTAAGCAGTGAAGACTAGGAGAGTAAGAATTTGAGCATGAGCCAGAATTCTGGAAGAAAAATAAGCCTCAATAAAACAAGTAACAGGGTATTTCAAGAGTTGACAAACCTAAATTAGATGAAGGTGATGAAAATCATTGTGTCCTATATTACATAATCTATCTAGACATAAAGCAATCAGGAGACCTATAATAAAGATTTGATATAGGAATTTATATGATGTTCTTCACACATGTGACTATGGGGGCTCTTAAAACATTTCTTAGCTTAAAGCTATAACCAACAAAGTTCTTATGAGTTTCAGCATCAGCACGGCTCAGCTTCTGGTCTCCTCAGAAGGCTCTTTTTATCAGGTCATACCCCACAGAATTAAAGTACTAGCCAAGAAATTATTTCGGGCAAACCATAGCATCTGGGTCCCACAGAGATGAATCCTGTACTACTTATTTACTTACTACTTAGATTGCGAAATAAAAGTTTTTGTAGATCAGAAGAAAATGGGCAGATTTTCTGCACGCAAATAAGGTACTGTATTTCTCTAAATTATCAATTCCATCTTTGTTGTTTTTAATTAAGTACAAATCAAGTAAAGTTCTGCACTGACATGTCTGTATAAAGTGCTATTTCACATCTTAGTAGAAATCAGTTAAGAGTATAGTAAAAAATCTATCTTTTCAATAGTTTGCTTACCCATCTCTATGACTGTTTTAGGACTAACATTTGAGGAAAATAGCAAAATAAGTTGATCTTTGTGGTACTGTAGTTTTCACACACTTACTATTTCATCATTATTTAACATACAGCACTGGACAAGAAGCTAACTAAATTATATCTTGAAATTATTTTGTATAGAAAATACACTTAGGAAAATGAGCCACTGTCACTAACCTTCTTGTATACAACGTTGAATGGCAATAGCCATTTTACAGAGAATGCTTAGTATTCTTTATATTAACAAGAACACAAAATAATTGCAGATATTTTAATTCATCTCTTTTTGTTGTCTAATTATAAAAGAAAAGCCTATTAACATTCCTGATTATAAATACATGTGACTTTAAGACCTGAAGTTAGAGCCAATCATTCAAAACGTTAAGAACTGATTCATCCTTTTTTTTTTTTTTTTTTTACTTTTTTCTTTTTTAACATTTACTTATTTTTTGAGAGACAGAGACAGGGCATGAGCTGGGGAGGGGACCGAGAGGTGGGGCAGTCACAGATTCTGAAGCAGGCTCCAGGCTCCGAGCTGTCAGCACAGAGCTGGATGTGGGGCTCGACCTCATGAGCCACGAGATCATGACCTGAGCTGAAGTCGGACGCTTAACCGACTGAGCCACCTAGGCACCCTGATTCATCCTATTTCTAATAAAGTTAATATATACATTTTTTTAAAAAAGTCTCTCAAATCTATTATTTGCTGCTTTAAAAACTCTTTCTGGGGGCGCCTGGGTGGCGCAGTCGGTTAAGCGTCCGACTTCAGCCAGGTCACGATCTCGCGGTCCGGGAGTTCGAGCCCCGCGTCAGGCTCTGGGCTGATGGCTCGGAGCTTGGAGCCTGTTTCCGATTCTGTGTCTCCCTCTCTCTCTGCCCCTCCCCCGTTCATGCTCTGTCTCTCTCTGTCCCAAAAATAAATAAAAAACGTTGAAAAAAAAAATTAAAAAAAAAAAAACTCTTTCTGGCTTTGAAGGTACAAGTTGTTGTTTTCCACTTCTTATGTTGGTATTTCTACAGGACAGAACTTCTGAAGTGAAATTCCATGATCTAAAGGATGTGGCATTTAAATGTACCTTTCCAAAAAGGTCTGTAACTATTTTTGTCTCTGCAAATTCATGAATATGTTTATCTATTTCTCCACGCACTGTGCTGTAATATATATATTATGGGTCTTTTTTACCTTTTTAATTTTTGTGAAGCTGATAGGTGAAAAATGGTACATCTCACTGTTTTAACTGCCCTGCACTTCTTAAAATCTCAGGCCAGAGGAAATTCCAAGGAAATTTTCATGTTCTTAGTTGGCATTTTGGCCTGCAGCTTTAATCCAAACTCCTATACAAGGTGATTATACTATGTACACAGTGGTACTCTAAACATTTCTCATCAATTAACTTAATTTTTATTATCATCACCATGTTACAAATAAGGAACCTGGTTAAATAACTTACCCAAGTTTATAGAGTTAATAAGTGGCACAGCTTTATTCAAACTCAAGCAGTCTGGCTCTAAAAACTATGCTGTTAACAACAGACTATGCTACCTCTCAGAAATTCAATTCTAATTACTAAGGTAAGTATATATATATCCAGGTATTATAAAGTTCAAAATTTGTCTACACATCTCCCAAGACATAAAGGAGAGGTAGAGGGGTTGGCTCTGGAATTTAGGACTTGACTCTAAGCCATTCAGAAGCACTCATGGGCAGGCTCTTTCCTGGTATCCGCTTATAAATCCAAAATCCTAATTCAAAAGCACCTACAATGGCGATGCTCTGGGCTCCACTGTCCACCAGCTCTTCAAAGCAATACAGCCTTTAGTGGATACTGCCAACCACTAAGGGGAGAGAATCAGAGGACAGTAATTCAATCTACCTCATATAATCCCACCAGACTGTACTCAAAAATCTCAGCTCACTATTGCTGGTGTTTTATTTGCTCCACATCTGGATCCCCAAAGTAAAACCAATCTGCATACTCACTTCAAAGCTGGCTAAGCATAAGCTAAATTGCCAAGATACCTAATCACACAAAGTAACATAAGAGAAAAAAGACGAAGAAAATCTTCCCCTTCTACCATTTATTAATGTGTATCAGGCACTATGTTAAACACTTTCATGTATTAGCTCAGTTCATGAAAGCAACTCTATAGAGAACCAAAACACAAGATGGGAAGTGGACTTCCTGAACCTCAGAATAACTTCTTTCATTCAAGAAGTATCTGTTACATAAATATTGAGCATTTACCATGCACTGTTCAAGTTATAAGGAATATAGTGACAAGCAGGATAGCCTCCCACTTAGCCTACTATAGAAATAGTTACCTAGTGCTATATTTTCAAATGCTGATCTAGGTGCATCATAATTATTTAGGGGCATTCAACATTCCAAACTTCTGGGCTCCACCTTCGTAAATTCTGATTCAGTAGATCTAAAGCAGGGCCCAAAATTCTGGGTTTGTAAAACTCCCAAGATGCATATGATACACAGTTAGATCTGGGAACCATTGACTGAACTATTTCACTATTACTGTGCTTTAATTTCACCCAAATATCTACCCAATTATCATTCCACAGTCAGAAATCTCATATTATGCCCTGCTTAAAATCCCATCAAATGTACACAGGACAAAATCTATTTTCTAAAGAAACCCTCCCTTAGCTAGTTCCCTGTCCATCTCTTCATCTTCATTATTCCCTATTCCTTTGGTCACACTGCAGTTACTCAAAAACATATTTCATTCCTTTCTCGCTCAGTCTCTCTCAGCCTGAGGTAGCCTTCTCAGTATGTGACTTGGCAAATGTATGTGAGAAACTTTTAGATTCAACCCAGCATTATTTTGTCTCTACTCTGTCTTCCAAAACTGTTCTTCTCCCCTAAATTTCACCACTCTGGTTATTTTGCTACATACACATGACCTTTGAACAGCACAGATCTGAAATGTGTAGATCCACTTATATACGGAATTTTTTTTGATAAATGCAATATAGTACTATAAATGTTATTTTTTCTTTATGATTTTCTTAACACCATTTTCTTTTCCCTAATTTGCTTTATTGTAAGAATACAGTATATAAAACATATATAAAATGTGTTAATAGTTATCGGTAAGGCTTCCAGTTAACAGTCAAGTTTTGAGGGGAAGGCAATTAGTCACATTTTTGGGGGAGTCAAAAGTTATATATACGTGGATTTTCAACTGTGCAGGGGGTCAGTGCCCCTAACCACCTGCATTGCTGAAGGGTTAACTGTACTTACCTTCCTCTACAATCCTCAAAGCTTCTTGGAGGCAGGAAACTGCCTCATTCATCTTTACCTTTGTATTCTTAGTAGAGATGTGTGTAAGTTCCACTTGGCTTTAGTA